GTCCAAACTAATAGTCATGGAAATAAAAATGCTAGAAAGTTAATTTTCGTGTTCCGTTACATGTGTGAGCCACTGTAGTACGAGACAGTTTGGACATGGTACGTCAATTCCAGCTTGACGTACGTTCGTTTCGGAATTCCAGATTGACACGTGTTGTTTTGGAATTTGTGACTGATGTGGATTCTGGAATCGACGTATATATATAAAAGAAAAGATTGCTATATATCGATATCGATATAGAATAATTTACGTGAATCATTTCGTTTTTCCACCATGATCGACGAAGGCAACGGTAGTAACTTTGATTACATTAACACAAGCCTGCCTGTTTATTTACATCGTTTTGAAATCCAAATTGACGTGCGTTTTGCGATTGGTGCGTTATTTCGGAATTCGAATTCCAAAACGTTAATCTGGATTCCAAAACGATAACAGATTAACCAACGAATTTATCTATATACATGTATACACTTCTGTGTTTCACCATTCTGAAATCTTTCATCCAATTTTTTTTATGACGGAAACATAACGATAATGGCAGAAGCATCTTCATCATCAATCTCTAGAGATTCTGAATCAAAACTCGAAGACATTAGTGTTCAAATAAATAGCAACATTTCTGTCTTTACACAGCTTCCGACACTGAATGGAATATATCTTTTGCTAGAAAATTATTTCAACCTTTTCGTCGCAGTTTTTTTCAATTTTTTTTATAGCACAAGCAAAATGTCAGAACCAAAATTCGAAGACATTAGTGTTCAAATAAATAGTGACCCTCCTATTCTTATACAACTGCCTATAAATAAAACACTGAATGAAATCCGTCGTTTACTTGCCGTTGAACCAAATATTCGAATGGATTTAAAAATGGGTTTCATGACCCCATTTGTCAGAATCATGCAAAAAAATGAATGTCAATATCTTTTATCAAAAATTCTTGATGACAATAATCTAAAAATTATCGGCGAACAGGAACCAGACTGGGAAAATATAAAAAAAATATGTAAGCTAGAGTATGGAGTTGACTTTTCGGAAAAAGGTCCAGAGAGCGCAGAAAAAAAAGCATTTGATATTACGAAATTTCATTTAAGAAAGCTAGAAAGACCAGATATAATTGATGAAATGATCGTGTGCCAAACAGAAATTGATAAAATTTGTGTAAAAAATCTTGTAGCAAAGTCTCAGATCACTGCGAATTTGCTGTGGTGAGTTAATTTCACATAAAAAATTTATTCCGTGTATATTTGTATTATATGCTAATTGATTTCAGGTCATCATCGATCTCGGCAACACTTGGTGGATCTAGAGAAACTGAAAATCACGTATATATTGGAAATTCAATTACTTATCGGACTTCAAAAAGAATAAAAGCTACAATATCATATTCTGAATCAGAAGTAAAGCCCACAGAAGAATTTATAAAAGCTGTCGATGACGCACTCGCATCAGATAATCAGCGTAAAAAC